CACCACGTGACCAACCACCAGTACGACCACTACCAGCTTGGCCGACTCCCAGGACCACCGCCGCCCGTACGACCAGCACAGCCACCAGCTGACTGACAACCAACATCACCACCACCAGCACGACCACCACGACCACCAGCACCACCAGCAGACCGACCACACCTACCAGCCACAACGACCACCACCATCACGACCACCACGACGACCACCACCAGCACGACCACCACGACCACCCCAACCACCACCAGCATGACCACCACCACCACCACGCCGACGAACGCCGCCGCCCCCCGTCCCCCTCTCCCTTCCCCCTCCCTCCCCTTCCCCTGCTGGGCCGCCCTTGCCGGTGCGCCTTCTGCGCGACAGTCCCCTCCTCCCTCCTCCTCCTGCTGCTGCTGCTCCTTCTCTCGCAGGCTGAGCTGGCCCAGCCAGGGCCCGAAGACGGCTCGAGGCTCGACGGTTCCTTCGGCGGCGGATTCGGACTCGCCTCACACGCCTGGCCCCGGTGGCCACTCGTCCCAAATGTGGACGTGTGCCGGGGCCGCGGAGAGGAGGACAAGGAGGAGGAACAGGGAGAGGAGGAGGAACAGGGAGAGGAGGAGGAGGAGGAGGAGGAGGAGGAGGAAGAGGAAAAATAAGAAGAAGAATAAGAAGAAGAAGAAGAGGAGGACGAGGGGGAGGAGGAGGAGCAGGAGGAGGCGGAGGAGGAGGAGGAGGCGGAGGAGGAGGAGGAGGAGGAGGAGGAGGAGGAAGAGGAGGAGGAGGGGAAGGAGGAGGAGGAGGAGGAGGAGAAGGAGGAGGGGTCGGGCCAGATTTTGCAGGCTCTCCTCCACGGCCCTCCGCGCCCGCAGTCCTCTGCCCCCCCCCCCCCCCGGGATAGATCTTGCTCGGAAGTCCCGAAATGATGCTGTGGCCGCACCGTCGGGCGAGTCATTGGAGATTCAATCGGGGGTGGACAGAACCCCCAACAGTGACACGTCGATTTGTGAATTGTCCGTTTTCGGTTCTCGAGAGTTCGCCGCGGCCGTTCTTTTCCAGGCTTGCGCCCGCCAGGTTTGGGCCTCAGGTCGTTTTCACTAAACCACGTTTTACTAAAGGGAGGTCTGTCAATCCCCGATTGGAGATTCCAGATGACCGCACGGTTTTGGGATTCGGGTCGTTCTCGGGCGACCGGGGCCTGCAGGGTACCGTGTTGCGACGGACCGGTATTTGGGGGCTTCGGGGTCACCGCGCGGTCTGCCACCGCACCGTTTTGGACCCCCCAGCCCGAGCCGTGAAGGAGTCACGACTGGAAGGGTCTTGGCAGTTTTCGGCCTCCATGTGGGCCCCCACGTGTCCCCAGCAAGGGCCCGGACCTCCACCGACGTCGCACGTCGTTTTTTTTTTTTTGGTTCGCAACGTATCGAAGACGAGCGAACGCCATAAACATGAAATGTCGGGGCTCCGCGCGGATTTATTGGATCCGCGCCGGGACCCCCTGGCGGCGCCTCTGGCGCCGGCCCTGGCGCGCTCCGCGCGCCAGGGAGGGAGGTCCCGGCGCGGATCCAAGAAATCTGCGCGGACCGCGCGGACTACCAGGGACTCCGAGGTCCCAAGGCCGTGCAGTGAGGGACCGCGTGGTAAGGCGTCTCGGGGTTTTTCGAGGTCACCGCGAGGGTGTTGAGACCTCCCCTTTCCGGGGAGCCGCGCAGCTGATCGAGCAGGGGATCGACGTCAGCATTGATTTACACAAATGTATTGGTTCGTTCGTCGAATCTGCAAACCAATACGTACAATGCTCGTACATCTACAGGGAATTCTACGCATACTTCGCAGATTCGACGACCATACAACTTTAGGGTACATGAATTCTGTAGTCGACCCCCCTACTCGAGGTTCGCCACGACACGGTCCCCTGAGTTCCGACGCCGTAGAACAATTGCAACATCGCACACAATCACGACCAGACCCTTGGACCCCATCTGCCTGTACCATTCTTCGAGCTGGACCGTTCTGCGAGGGTCCCAGGGCCCGAGCTCGAGCGAACACTCCCGCGCGAAAAAAATGGGTCGCCAGAATCTCCAGGTCTTGGGACGTGGCATCGCTCGGACGTGTGCATTTTTTCTTCGGCGAGGACCATCGAGGAGCATCCTTGATCATTTGGCGAAAACCACGCACGAAACTAAAATTACCCTGTGACGTACCCGACCCATTTGTATCATGGGACACGAGGAGTTGGCCGAAACTTGCATGGACAATCAAATTGCAGGATCCGTTGTTTGATGTGTAAGCTACTTGGGACACGCGCCTATGGCATGATGCACAGGAGAACCATACAAGAACGAGGGGCGACAACTACAGGCTCGAAGAGGACATGGCGAGTCGGGAGCGAAGAGCACGAAAAAGACGTGCGGGAAGCCCACTGTGCTGGGCCCCCCCCAGCAGGCCTCGAAAGTGGCGACAGTTTCACAGATCGCAGCCCCCCCAGGGATGGCGAGGTCCCATTTGAATCCGCGGTGGCTACCCACTGTGCTGGGCCCTCCAGCAGGCCTCGAAAGTGGCGACAGTTTCACAGATCGCAGCCCCCTAGGGATGGCGAGGTCCAATTTGAGTCTGCGGTGTGTACCCACTGTGCTGAGCCCCCCAGCAGGCCTCGAAAGTGGCGACGGTTTCACAGATCGCAGCCCCCCAGGGATGGCGAGGCCTAATTTGAGTCCGCGGTGAGTACCCACTGTGCTGGGTCCCTCAGAAGCCCTCGAAAGTGGCGACAGTTTCACAGATCGCAGCCCCCCATTGATGGCAAGGTCTAGTCTGAGACCGCGGTGTGTACCCACTGTGCTGGGCCCCCCAGCAGGCCTCGAAAGTGGCGACGGTTTCACAGATCGCAGCCCCCCAGGGACGGCGAGGTCTAATTTGAGTCCGCCGTGTGTGCCCACTGCGCTGGGCCCCCCAACAGGCCTCGAAAGTGACGACAATTTCACAGATCGCAGCCCCCCAGGGATGGCGAGGTTCCATTTGAATCCGCCGTGTGTGCCCACTGCGCTGGGCCCCCCGCGGGCCTCGAAAGTGGCGACAGTTTCACAGATCGCAGCCCCCCAGAGATGGCGAGGTCAAATTTGAATCCGCCGTGTGTACCCACTGCGCTGGGCCCCCCAGCAGGCCTCGAAAGTGGCGACGGTTTCACAGATCGCAGCCCCCCAGGGGTGGCGAGGCCTAATTTGAGTCCGCGGTGTGTGCCCACTGTGCTGGGCCCCCCAGCAGGCCTCGAAAGTGGCCACCGTTTCGCAGATCGCAGCCCCCCAGGGATGGCGAGGTCTAGTTTCAGTCCGCCGTGTGTACCCACTGTGCTGGGCCCCCCAGCAGGCCTCCAAAGTGGTGGCGGTTTCACAGATCGCAGCCCCCCAGGGATGGTGAGGTCTATCTAATTTCAGTCCGCGGAGGGTACCCAATGTGCTGAGCCCCCCAGCAGGCTTCGAAAGTAACGACTGTTTCACAGATCGCAGCCCCCCATGGATGGCGAGGTCTAATTTCAGTCCGCGGTGTGTACCCACTGTGCTGCCCCCCCCCAGCAGGCCTCAAAAGTAACGACAGTTTCGCAGATCGCAGCCCCCAGGGATGGCGAGGTCAATTTCAATCCGCCGTGTGTACCCACTGTGCTGGGCCCCCCCACAGGCCTCGAAAGTGGCGACAGTTTCACAGATCGCAGCCCCCCAGGGATGGCGAGGTCACATTTGAATCCGCCGTGGGTACCCACTGCGCTGGGCCCCCCAGCAGGCCTCGAAAGTGGCGACAGTTTCACAGATCGCAGCCCCCCAGGGATGGCGAGGTCCCTTTGTCCGCCGTGGGTACCCACTGTGTTGGGCCCCCCAGCAGGCCCGGTGACAACAGTAATGGCGACAGTGTGTGTGTACTGGCCCCCCAGCCTCGAAAGTGGCGACAGTTTCACAGATCGCAGCCCCCCAGGGATGGCGAGGTCCAAATTGAATCCGCCGTGTGTTGCCCACTGTGCTGGGCCCCCCCCCTGCAGGCCTCGAAAGTGGCGACAGTTTCACAGATCGCAGCCCCCCAGGGATGGCGAGGTCCCATTTGAATCCGCCGTGGGTACCCACTGCGCTGGGCCCCCAGCAGGCCTCGAGAGTGGCGACGGTTTCACAGATCGCAGCCCCCACGGGACGGCGAGGTCTAGTTTCAGTCCGCGGTGTGTACCCACTGTGCTGCCCCCCCCAGCAGGCCTCGAAAGTGGCGACAGTTTCACCGATCGCAGCCCCCCAGTGATGGCGAGGTCCCACTTGAATCCGCCGTGTGTACCCACTGTGCTGGGCCCCCCAACAGGCCTCGAAAGTGGCGACAGTTTCACAGATCGCAGCCCCCCAGGGATGGCGAGGTCCCATTTGTCCCCGCCGTGGGTGCCCACTGTGCTGGGCCCCCCAGCAGGCCTCGAAAGTGGCGACAGTTTCACCGATCGCAGCCCCCCAGTGATGGCGAGGTCTAGTTTCAGTCCGCGGTGTGTACCCACTGTGCTGGGCCCCCCAGCAGGCCTCGAAAGTGGCGACGGTTTCACAGATCGCAGCCCCCCCAGGGATGGCGAGGTCCCACTTGAATCCGCCGTGGGTACCCACTGTGCTGGGCCCCCCAGCAGGCCTCGAAAGTGGCGACAGCTTCACAGATCGCAGCCCCCCAGGGATGGCGAGGTCCCATTTGAATCCGCCGTGGGTACCCGCTGTGCTGGGCCCCCCAGCAGGCCTCGAAAGTGGCGACAGCTTCACAGATCGCAGCCCCCCAGCTGGCACGCAGTGACGAGCGAAGGCAGGGGGGAAGAGAGGGACGGGGGGGGGCTTCTGAAGGTTCGCGCGAACAGTGTTCTATTCAAAACGAGAACCCAACGCAGGAGGGTTGGGAAAAACACAGGGAATGGACGTCCGAGCGACGGCAAGTTGGACCTCCCAGTTTGGGGGGAGCCGCGCCGCGGAGGAGCCACGAGCCCGCGCAGTGCCCGGGTGATCCCGGGGCCGTCCCGAGAGGTGCTGCTGCGCTTCCGCAGGCGCGAGGGCTTCTGCGAGCGCGAGGCGCGGCACGGCCCTGCCGCACTGGCCTCTTGCAGTGGAGACCCATGGAAAGAAACGGCCTCCCTGCCTCGACAGTCACCCCGCATGGTAAGGATGGGCAGCCTCCCCAGGGGTGCACTCGCATCCTTTCCCTTCGGCCCATCCCTGGAAACTTCTGCTGTCCGCGCCCCGCGCTCAAAGCGTCGACATGGCCTTCCAAGGCCCCTGCATCCTTACCGCGCATGCTTCCTTATTATACGGGTTGACTGTATCTCTCGTCCTACTTCTCCTCCCCCATCCACTTCCCTCCTCTCTTCCGTTTTCACGGGATCGTTGCTACAGTGGACACATTGAAATAATGGCAAAGTTGGGTCCATGAGGAACTATGTTTTCCGGGAGGCTCCTCGGGTCTAGGCCGGGTCTACCGATTCGTGACCGAGGCTCGCCGTGACCAGAAAATCCATTCGCTATTTTTCAGTGTTCCTTCGACAGTGGCAACCCATGCTAAGAAATACCCTGCATTCCTCCAGGGTGCCCCGGGTTTCTTGGATTCGATGATTTCGCCATGGAAGGCGTGACGTTCCCACACCCAAACCGAAAATCAAAAGGCGTCCCGGGGTCTCAGCGTTGGGTTTCTTGTGGACGGTTTCTTGTGGTCGAGCCCCTACTGCAGGTCGCCCTGGCCGCTGGCATGGGCCCGGAGCGCCCCCCCCCCCCCCCCCGCAGGGCCTACGGGATTGACTCGGAATGGGCGACACGTAAGAGTTCGAGTAGGGGATCGACTGCAGAATGGTTTTACCCCAAAATTGGAACGGTCGTCGAATCTGCAAACCAACACGTATAATGTTCGTACATCTGCAGAGAATTCAAGGTTTTTTCCGTAGAGTCGACGAACATTTGATTTTGGGGTAAGCCAATTCTGTAGTCGATCCCCCATTCGAAGAGTGACCTGTCGCCGGAATGAACTTTCCCCCCGATCGCGGAGTGCGACGCGGCAGCAGCGGCTTGCGCGCCTGGCGGTGTCCCCGAAGGGTCCCCCCTCGGGCGCACCACTGGTCACTCGAGCGTGTTTCTGTATAGCAGGAGGAGGAGGGGGAGGAGGAGGAGGAGGGGGAGGAGGAGGAGAAGCAGGAGGAGGAGGAGGAGGAGGAGGAGGAGGAGGAGGAGGAGGAGGAGGAGGAGGAGGAGGCCCCCGGCCCCCCCCCATAACGTAGCGCCCCTCCCCCCCCCGGTGCGCTCTGGGCACTGCCGCCGTGCGCATCGGGCACACGGCGGGGGGGAGGCGTTACAGTAGGCCCTCCCCTTCCCCGGCCCCCTCCTCCACCCCTAAAATGCCCATCATCGTCGAAAGCGGAGAAACGTGCTCCTCTTGTCCAGGGTCGCTCCTGCGTGTAGCCGACCGGCTCTTTCCGTGGAAGAGTGGTGCGATTGGATTCAGGAGGTTGCCTGCCTCCGCCCCCCCATTTGTGAGGAGAGAGCAGCGACCAGCACTGTCCTCCTCCTCCTCCTCCTCCTCCTCCTCCTCCTGGGACCGGTTTTGAGCCGATCTTGAGTCTCTCAAGGGAGGAAGTAACCACCCGGACCCAATAAATTGGTGTTTACCAACCGGCGCTGGGCGTTTACGAAACAGCCTTGCCCTGCTCGATTCCTGCTTCGGGTACGTTTACTGAGCGGTTTCGCGTGTCGGTGTGATTATAATTTGAGGGTGGGTTTTCGATTTTCTGGCCTCGAGTTTCCAGTGTCTCAGCTCGCTCCTCTCCGACTCTTCTTGCTCCCCCTCCGTCGCGCGGGTCTCTCGTGACCCCCCCGAGCCTGCCCTGGCCGGGGCCTCCCTCTCTGGAAGTCGTGATCGGGGGGTTCCACCACCCACCTCCAGCCAAGGGAAGGAAGACCACGCGGATCAGATAACTGGCGCTCACTAAACGGGCCGTCGCGTTCGATACCTTCTTTGAGTGTGTTTACTAAACGGCCTCGCTTGTCGGGGTGGTTCTTCCGGGGGTGGGTTTTTTGCCCTCGATCAAGGGCGTCGGCTCCGCATTGTGCGAGGGGCTGTAGCATTGACGCACCTGTCCATTCACTCCACCGTCCAAAGTGGGTGGCCCGCCGGCGGCGACGGCGACCGCATCGAAGATGGCAGTGCAGCCCTCCGTGGATCCGATGTTATGTTTTGTTTGTCTTCTCAATGCGGGGCCCCCAGGAGTCCTGAGTCCTTGTTTGACAGTCCCGGGTCCCGGCGAGGGCCCCAGAAGCCGAAATTGACCAAAAGCCGCAGTCTTGATGTTTCTTTAATTCGGCAGATGCAGCAGTGGACTCCCAAGTGCACAAGATGATGGAAAACCGCTTTCTTTTGCCGTCGTTTCTTCTCCCTCCTGTCCCTCTCCGTCCTCTTCTGTTTCTGCTTCACAGTCGAGTCTCTGTGCAGTATGGTGCGCAAACAATGTCGTGCGATCTGTACTGTGCACCATGTCTGGAACAATCAGCGTGGCTCAATCTATGTTGTGAGGTCTGTGGTGTGAAACCTACGTGGTGCAACCTATGTAGTGCAATCCATGCGGTGCAAACTATTTTGTGCAATATGCGAGGAGCATCCTATGGCGATTTATGTGGTGCTACCGATGCGATGCGTTCTATGTGGTGCCATCTATGCGGGGCGGCGATGGGCGGCGACGAGGCGGCCACGGGGCGGCGACGGTCGGCACAGAACCGCCAAACCGACACACAAAACCAGGCGACGGGCGGCGGTAGACTGGCGACGGGGCGGCCACGGCTGGCAAGGAACCGCCAGACCGGCCAGTTGGTCCAGGTCCTTAGAGCAGAAGTAGGGCCCCTTTAGTGCAAGCATTGCTTGGAGAATCTATGCGGTGTTGTCTGTATGCCTCCGTCTGTGAACGCTGTCCGCCAGAGCCATGCCTGGTCCCGTCTCCAGCGCTGGAAGGTTGAAAAGTTGAAAGAGCACTTCATGCGGGGCGATGACAACAACGACGGGGAGCTCTGCGTGACGGAGGCCAGTCCTCTGTCGCGGTGTGCCTTTTTCGGCTAGCCATCGCCGCTGCGTTTCTTCACACCTGGATCCTAGATGCTTGTACGACAAGAGGAGAGGCGGAGGAGACAGATCAGTTGGAGGAGGGCTGGGTATTTCCCGGTCCGTGACCCCATGCTTGCAGGGTGGATTTGCACGGATGTCTCGCGCGGAACGCATTCGTAGGATCGCGCATCCAGAGGATCGGACCCCATGATTACCCAAACCGCGAGGGCACGAGTATGGAACACGGCTCTCGCTTGCGATCTTCCGTGCCCACAGGAGAGATATTCTTGCCACGGTGAGCGGTCTTGCGACTGTTTGGCGGCGTTCGTCCTCCCAGGGCCCGTGGGGGGCCAGCGGGGCTCCCGCCTGCGCATTTCCGTTGGCGGGTATCCACGCGTCTCAGGCGATGTGTTTCCCGCAGTCCCCGAGCCCCTCCAAACAGAAAACTGGCAAGTCAGGAAGTAGGTGGCACTGGGGAACAGACCCCCGGGGAGCTGCTCGGACGCACCATCATCGAGGATGGACCCCCCCCCATCGTGCTACCCCCGGGTTGGGCCTTCAATCTGGTGCCTAAACAAAAGCCATAAGGTTTGGGTTGAGGTCGACATGCCTTCAGTTGAAGCGCTGGTGGCGCGCCAGATACCCTGCCCACCCCGACCTCGGTCAGCTCTGCGGTGCCTCGTGCCAGGAGCGCGCGTGTCGTGGAATCGTGCTGCAACAGGGGTCGCAGCACCTGCGTACCTCCTTGGCACGTCGGCATCGCGCTCGTTGGCGTTCTGGGCTGGGCGCCTTCTGGGGGGCTCTTTTGGCGCTCTGGCGCCCGTAGATCGGGCGAAGGCCCATTCTGGACCCAATGTCGTTGTAGATGCATCCCTGGCGAAGCCATGAGGGCACATGTGCCGATCTGGGGCCCAAGATGGGCCTGGTCGTGTGTGCATCGATCCTCAACCTTGGCAGGGAGCAGCACGCGGTGCAAAGTCCGTGCGAAAGATGGGAGGACGGAGTCGAGGGGCACAGGGGTCCGAGAGCAGAAGGGAGGAGGAGGAGGAGCATGAGGAGGAGGAGGATCAGGAGGAGGAGGAGGGGGATGAGGAGGAGGAGGAGGAGGAGGAGGAGGAGGAGGAGGAGAGGGATAGGAGGAGCAAGAGGAGGAGGAGGAGGAGGAGGAAAAAGGAGGAGGAGGAGGAGAAGGAGGAGGAGGAGGAGGAGGAGGGAGTGTGGAGGAGGAGGAGGAGGAGGAGGAGGTGGAGGTGGAGGAGGTGGAGGAGGAGGAGGAAGAGGAGGAGGATGAGGAGGAGGAGGAGGGGGAGGGGGATGAGCAGGAGGAGGAGAAGGAGGAGGCCAGAGGAGAAGGATGAGGAGGAGAAGGAGGAGGACATTTGGGAGTTGCTTCTGCTTAACTGCGCACACACGCACACGCACGCACATTCATATTTACATGTGCCACTGCATTTGCACCTACACTCACACTTACAAACACATACTCATTTACATACACACATGCACATGCACATACACATACAAATACACATACACAGACACATGCACATACATATACACATACATATACACATTCGCATACGCATATGCATACGCATACACCCACTTGCACACGCACACGCACACGCACGCGCACGCGCACGCGCACACATAAACAGCAGAGGACGCCTGGGGATGCCTGCCAAGGGCGCCGTCGTGCGACCTGGCGCAGCGCTGGGCTGATCCGGAGCAGGCGCCGACGAGGCCCGCGTCTCCCGATGGCGATGCCGAGACCGGTCCTGCCGGGGCCGCCCCCCGCCTCGCGCCGCCGGCCCCTCCGGAGGTTGCCCGCACGCTGAGGGCGATGGGCTACTCGGCCTCCTGCGACGTCGTCTGGGCCTCAGGTGCCCAGGGATCCAGCGCGTCGAGGCAAGCACGGCAGGCTTGTCCCCCGCGTTCGACCTCTCGGGGCCCTTGCCGGGCCCCAGGGCCGTCAGGCACGACTCGGGACGAAGGGCATGCAGGTCTGTGGGCGTGGGTCGAGACTTTCAGGGGCCCCGTGCTGAGACAACACGTCAAGACATCGGATCTCTGGGGGCCCGCTGGGGGCGGGCGGGCTCCATCGAGCGTGGTTGCAACTTGATCCTAGAAAGTCAGCTTGCACGGCATTTCCGGCCCCCCCCCCTCCCCCCCTGCGCCGCCGTCCCAAATAGCGATGGGCCGAACAGGCGTGAACGCGGCACCTGGCTTGCGTGAAGTCTAGATCTCCTGTCGGACCTCGCCATGCCCCCCCCCCCCTCCCCCAGACAAGGAAACTTGCCAGAGGAGAAGGAGGAGGAGGAAGAGGAGGAGAAGGAGGAGGAGGAGGAGAAGCAGGAGGAGGAGGAAGGGAGAGATGAGGAGCCATGACCTGACCTGCCAGAGTTGAAACGAAAACTGCCTCCCGGTGGCGGGCGGGCCCTTGACGGCCTCCTGCCGCCGCTCAGGCCTGCGCGTCGATCTCGGGACATCCCTGAGATCGGGGCGCTGCCATCTTTTCGCACTGGGCGTGTTTGCCCGGTGTCCTGCCCTCCCTCCCTCCTCCCCCGCGGCTGCTTTCGCCTGTCTTCCTTCCTCCTGCCGCCGCTTATTGATGAGGCCTTATGCCCGGTGCCGCCGACCCTGAACGACGACGACGGAGACGACGACGGCGACGACGACGACGACGGCGGTAGCGGCGACGGCGGCGGCGAAGACGACGACGACGACGCTCGCGGCCGTTTTCGCCTGTCGTCCTTCCTCCTGCCGCCGGTTGTTTGTGTTTTCTGTTGCCCGGACCGCCTGAGCGCGCGTGCGGTCTGTCTTTGTCGCACTGCGACGTAACAAAAACGTTTGCCCTGTGTCGGGCCTTGGGGCCATCACATATCGATCTGGCCCGAAAGAAGGGCGCAAAAAAGTGGGGTCTATGGGGCTCCACTCGTGAGTTGTTGCCATGTTGCATCTTTTCGCAGCATTGGATCTCAGGCTCCAGCGCGTCGACCGGGACATCGGGACATCGGGATCGGCGCTGTCGTCTTCACGCCGCGGGTTTGTCCGCTGCCGCCGATCCAAGGGCGTCGCCCCGAGGACTGCGCGGGGCGTGGGCTGATGGCGTGTGATGGTCGGAGGACAAAACGTTGCCCTCCCACCCGGCATCCGTTCAAAAATCTGCCCCCGGATCCCTCCTGGGGTCTGTCCTGGCCCGTTGGTCGACGCGGATCCCGCCGCGGTGTGGAGAGGGCTCCAGGAGGAGGCGGAGGAGATGAGAGAGGAGGAGATATGAGAGAGGAGGAGGAGGAGGAGGAGGAGGAGGGGGGGGGAGGAGGAGGGGGAGGGGGAGGAGGAGGAGGAGGCGGAGGAGGAGGAGGAGGGGGGAGGAGGAGGAGGGGGAGGAGGAGGAGAAGGAGGAGGTGGAGGAGGAGGCGGGAAGAGGAGGCGAAGGAAGAGGAAGAGGAGGATGATGAGGAGAAGGAGCAAAATGAGGATGAGGACCAGCAGGAGGGGGATGCGATGGACGCATTGGGGCTGGGGGAGAATGGGGCACGCAGGACGGGGTAGCGGCCCGCCGCTCGGCTCCCTGAGGCCCAGATGTTGGTGGCCCAGGCGCGCCCGCCGCTCGGGACCCCCTGGCCCGCGGCCGCCGCGCTCCAGGCGGGTGGCAGGCGGAGCGACCTCGCCATCGGAGGCTCGGGAAGAGGGAACAGGAGGAGGAGGGAGGAAGACGAGGGAGAAGGAGGAGGAGGAGGAGGAGGAGGAGGAGGAGGAGGAGGAGGAGGAGGAGGAGGGGGGGGGAAGGGCGTAGGAGGAGGAGGAGGAATGCGGCACGAGGATTATGATGATGATGATGATGATGATGATGATGATGATGATGATGATGATGATGCTGGTGATGATGATGAAGATGATGATGATGATGATGATGATGATGATGATGATGATGGTGATGGTGATGATGATGATGCTGGTGATGATGATGATGATGATGATGATGATGCTGATGATGATGATGATGATGATGATGGTGATGCTGATGCTGAGGATGATGATGATGATGCTGAGGATGATGATGATGATGATGCTGAGAATGATGATGATGACGATGATGATGATGATGCTGATGCTGATGCTGCTGATGGTGATGGTGACGGTGATGCTGGTGATGCTGATCATGTTGATGATGATGCTGGTGATGATCTTAATACTGATGATGATAATGATGATGATCACGATGATGATAAGAATGCTGATGATGCTGATGATGACGATGACTCTGGTGATGATGCTGATGTTGATGCTGATGATGCTGATGATGGTGGCGATGCTGCTGATGGTGGCGATGCTGCTGATGATGCGCCTGCTGATAATGATGCTGCTGATGATGATGTCGATTATGATGACGCGAGAGAAACATTTGATGATGAGGATTTTGTCGATGGTGATGCTAATGATGATGCAACTGCTGGTGATGATGTTGTTAATGTTGATGATCATGACGAGGATCATGATGATGATAATAATGCTGATGATGCTGATGATGACGATGATTGTGGTGATGATGCTGATGTTGTTGCTGATGATTTGTTTGATGGTGACGATGCTGCTGATGGTGGCGATGCGGCTGATGATGATTATGATCAGCATAGTTATGATGATGCTGATGATGGTGATGATGATGGTGACGAGAGAGAAAAGGCTGATGATGATGTTGAGGATGTTAATGTTCATGGTGATGATGCTGATGCTGCTGATGATGATGGTGATGCAGATGATGGTTAGGATGATGATGATGATGCTGATGATGATGATGATGATGATGTTGATGTTGATGTTGATGTTGTTGATGATGATGATGATGATGATGAGGAGGAGGAGGATGATGATGATGATGATGATGATGATGATCATGAGTCTGATGCTGATGCTGATGATGATGATGATGAGGAGGAGGAGGCGGAGGGAAGAGGATGCAGGAGAGGAGGGGATAAGGGGCGATTACAAAGAGGATATGAGGACAAAGAAGGCTATCTTGAGGGGCTCTCTTGGGGTCCCCGTGAGACCTTTTGGGGCAATCTTGGGGCTCGTTCGTGTTGGTAGATTTTGTGCCCTTTTGGGCCCGATTGGATGGGTCTGGGAAACCTTTTGGCTCTCATGGCTCGAATGGATGGGGGGGGGCAATTCAGCCCCCCCCCCATCGGAGACTCAAAAATGGCGTCTTGAGGTCCCCTTGAGCCGCTATCGGGCGTCTCTTGGGCCCTCTTGGGGCCGTCTTCGTGCGATCTGGAACCCCTCTTGGTTGAGGCTCCCTCGGGTCATCTTGGGGCTATTCTCAGGCTTCAATAGTCGGGAAGCGACAGCTCGAGAAGGCAAAACACACTGCTCTACCTTCTGGGGTGCCTCGGAAGGCTGGAAGGGCACTTGGAACCGTCTTGGGGCTGTATTGGGACCTCTTGGAGATATGCAGTAGGCTCTATTGAACCATCTTCGGCCATCTTGAGCCATCTTGGAGGCCGTTTTGGGCTTGCAATGGTCCTTTCGGAGCCATCGTGGGCCCATCTTGAAGCTCTAACTACCCGGTCCCCCCACCCTCCCAGGCCCAAAGGAGGGGGGAGGGGTAGGAGGACGGGTAAGCCCTTCCCCCGAGCTGGGAAGGATGGGGGAGAGAAAACAAAAGTCGTTAAACCACCTACGCTCAGAGGGCTAGCTGGATCTCTTTGAGCTCCGCGCGGGTTACTTGGGTCGGCGTTGGGCCCCCGTAGCGGCGCCTCCAGCGCCGCCCCTTGCGCACTCCGCACGCACACTCCGCGCGTATGTTTGGACCTCTAAGAAACTGTGTTCATGTTGCTGTTTTCCTCGAAGACTCTCTGCTCTAGTAATACATCTGTTTGTTCCTCAATGCCTGCCTTCCGTCCGCCCCCCCTCCCCCTCACGTCGCTCTCAGGATGCAACTCTTGGAGGGGTGAATTCACTGTTGTATCCATGGCCAGAAGCTGGCCAAGTCCCGCGTAGTGCTGATCAAACCCATCGACACCGACCTCATCGGACTGAATCATTAGCAGACCTTACCGTCGCTCCTGCGGAGACCTCCCAGCAGTTTCCTTCTAACCTTCCTCCTCCTTCTCCTTTTCCCCTCTCCTCCTCAACCTCCTGCTGCTGCGCACGACCCTGTCGGACATCCGTGATCCACCGCGCCGCTCGCAGCACGCACCGCGCTCGGGCGCGCTGCCGGGCGCGGGGGCGTCGGGCCCCCGCCGGAGTCCGTCTCGTTTCTGGGAGGGGGGGGCGTGACACGCCGACCATGCCCCGACACGGCGTAGGACCCAATCAGTGCTTGCACTGAAGGGGTCCTGGCGGAAATTGAAAGATTTGGCGAACAGTTCCCGCCGATGTTGGTAGCCGGCTGGGTTCCCGGGTTCCTGGTCCCGGGTTCCCGGGTTCTTGGTTATTGGCTCTGGGCCGATTTTGGTGGGTTTCCGGTCGATCTCCTTTTCGATCTCAAACCATTCACTGATTGGGGTTTTTCCTTTGTGTAATTACTCAAACTAAATGTGTGTGTGTGTGTGTGTGTCGCCCCCCCCCCCCCTCTCCAGTAGCGACGCGCGCACCGAGAAGTCTTGTTGTACATGCGTTGTGGCGGGCGCTTTCTGGCCACGCCGCTCGGGAAACGAACTGCTGCAGATAAGTATACTTGTGTGCTCGGGTCGGACGCGCTTCTCCAGAGAGGACGCATCGTACTAGTATGCCTCTGTGCTTCCCATAGAAGGGGGGGACTCGGGAAGAGCAGCAGAGGATGATGAGGCTGTTTTCCACCACCACCATTTGTTGCAGGGGGGAAGGAGGAGGAGGAGGAGGAGGAGGAGGAGGAGGAGGAGGAGGAGGAGGAGGAGGAGGAGGACCCCCCCCCTCCAACTTATGATGGTGGTGGTGGAAAAAACGCCCATCAGAGGAGGATGTCGCACATGCGGCTCCTCAAGCTCCCCTTCCTCCGCTTTCCAGGTGCCGCCTCCGCCCCCGCGCGGCGAGGTGGACGCGGACCTGTCCGGAGCGCTGGACTTCCGGGAGTTCATGAAGTTGGTCCGCATCTACAGGGACCGCCCGGGGCTTCGGGACGACCTACATGGGTATGGGAAGAATGGGTACAATGCCCAACAGAATTTCCTGTCCATTTTGAACAGGACTTGCTGTCCGCGCCGTCGCGACCTGTGTCCATTTAAGACAGAAGGTCCTCTGCCCAACAGCGGCCGCTGTTGGTTTGGGACAACACTGGTTGTTGGGCATTGTACCCATTTTTTCCGTACCCAGGCTGCTCGTCGCCGCCGCCCCTGGCGTCGTCGTCGTCACGGCGTCTTTGCGGGAGCCCCAGACCCTCCCTCAGATCCTCGAATATCATCCCGAGGTCCTTGGGGGGTCCTCGCCGGGCTTCGGGACCATCCGAAAAAGATTCAGGATGAGATGCTGGTCCCAGGGAATCTGTCCAGACCTCCTGGGCTACGGTGCGCTGGTTCAGGCTTGTGCCCAGGAGGCTTCATACCCTGGAGGATTATTGGTCTGGTGAGGGCGGCAGTGATACCCGTGGCCCATCCACGACTGGATTTCTACCGGCTTCCACACCATCTATCGCCGTAAGAATCGCAGGCGGAATAGATACCGATACCGCTGCCATTCCCTCGTCGCCACGGCCGGACTCGATGAGGGCCGCGGAATAGGATATCGTTTTTTTTTGTTGTCCCTCCAGGGTCTGCAATGGAGCATTGGGGGGCCGGAGGAGGAGGAGGAGGAGGAGGAGGAGGAGGAGGAGGAGAAGGGGTGGGGCGGAAGCGCGGGGTAAAAAGGAGGGAGGATGGGAGGAGGGATGGGGGAGCACGAGGCGGACGTGGAGGGAATTGAAGAAGGGGAGCAGCAGCCAGGACCAGGAGGCGCAGGATCAGAAGGAGAAGCGGGAGAAGTGAGGGGGGGAAGGAGAGGAACGAATTCGGAGCAGCGAGGGTGGAGGATGGGCGTGGAGGCAGAAGAGCGAGGAGGATGCGGAGGCCAACGGGGACGATGATGAGGAGCCAGAGCAGCAGACGAAGGCGAAGGAGGAGGAGGAAGGGGAGGAGGAGGAGGAGGAGGAGGAGGAGGAGGAAGGAGTAATTAGGATTAGAGCGAGGAGTGGAGGAACGAGTGATGTGTTCGGATGAGGACGAAGGAGGGAGAGGGGGTGATATCGAGGGGTTGTCCTAGGAGGAGGAGGTGGAGGAGGAGGACGAGGAGGAGGAGGAGGACGGAGTGTGCTGAAACAGATGATGAGGTGGAGAGGATTCTGGAGGATGAGGATGATGATTGGGGAGGAGGAGGATCGAGGTGGGGAAGATGGGGGAGGAGGGTGGTAATGAGGAAGGAGAAGCAGGTGCAGGCAGAGGAAGGCAAGGGTGAAGCATTGCGAGGGGGCATGAGATGCCAGCCATGAATGGAATGCATAGTAAGTCCTCAAGGGCAGCGAAGCGAGGAATGAGGCAGGAGACAATTACGGAGGATATGTAACGGAACCGGGACAAATCGTTGGCGGGAGAGGATGGGGAGGAGGATTAGGAGGAGGAGGAAGAGGAGAGAGCAGGATGGAGTAGCAGCGGGCAGGAGCAGAGGGAAGGCGGAGGCCAGAGAAGGAGGAGGGGGATGATGATGATGATGATGATGATGATGATGATGAGGAGGAGGAGGATGAGGAGGATGAGGAGGATGAGGAGGATGAGGATGAGGATGAGGATGAGGATGAGGATGAGGATGAGGATGATGAGGATGAGGATGATGAGGATGATGAGGATGAGGATGATGAGGATGATCATGAGGAGGAGGAGGAGGAGAAGGGGAGCACGCATCGTGGATGGATGAGGGAGGGAGCAAGAAATTCGAAGAAGGCAACGAGGACGACGACGAGGGAGGATGAGGAGGAGGAGGAGGAGGCGGGCGGAAGAGGGATGAGGGAGCGCGTGGGTGCAAGAAGGAAGATCATGAGGGGGAAGGGCGGAGGAGGCGGGAGGCAGGAGGTGGCAGGCGTACAGGAGGATTCCCGTCCGAGGCAGTGCGCCTGCGAACGTCCAGCGTCCAGCCAGCCCTGGTTCAGTCCCTGCTGAAGTTGGCGTGTAGGGTTAATTCGGGCCCGTCCCTCTACAGGCGGAATATTCAAAAACATTTCAAAAATAGTCCGGGGACTACTTTTTAAATATTTTTTGACCATATTGGACTATTGTAGTGGCCTTCGGCCAGTGCCGCCGATCCGGGTCGCTCGGGGTTATTCTCCAGACGCAGAAATTATGGGCGCACACTCAAACGCACACACACAGTCACACCACTTAACCTGCGCCGCAGACATGCGCACACAGCATCACCCACACACACATACTAGTTGGGAAACGCACCTGTAGTACTAGTAGTAGTAGTAGTAGTAGTAGTAGTAGTAGTAGTAGTAGTAGTAGCAGTAGTAGTAGTAGTAGTAGTAGTAGTAGTAGTGGTAGTAGTAGTAGTAGTGGTTGTGGTAGTAGTGGTAGTAGTAGTAGAGGCCTCGTTCCGCGGCTTCTCTCGACTTCCCGCGGTCTCTCTCAAGTTTCGAGCACGCGGTGAGTTTCACGATATATGTGTGTGTATGTACGCGTGCATGCATGTATGCATGCATTGATCATGTGTGCCTGTGTGTAGGTACGTATGTATGTATGTATGCTTGTGCGCGTATGTATGTATTTAGTTTGTATGTATGTTTGTATGTGTGTATGATAATATGTGTGTATGTGTGTGAATGTAAGTATGTATGTCTGGAAGATTGTTTTTCTATGTATGCAAATGTGTTTAAATGTAGGTATGTATGCATGTGTGTATGGATGTGCGTTTGAAGAGCGAGGATGTTTCAAAGAAGAGGCACTCGGTGACGCGATCGTTGAGGGATAGGAGTGAGGTCGCAGAGGAGGAGGAGGAGAATGAGGAAGAGGCGATAACTTGAAGGAAAACGATGAGACGGAGGACATCCTGCCGGTGGCGCCCTGGGCGGTGCCGCGGAAGAAACCGGGGGCCTGCCGGAGGCAGTCTGGAGGCCTCTGGGGAGCTGTTTTGGGGCCTCTTGGAACCTCTTTTGGGCCTCTTGTGGGCTTCTTGGGGCCCCTTGGGGGTCTCTTGGGGCCTCCTGGGGGCCTCTTGGGGCGGAAAGCTCGGTTCTTTCGGTTCGTGGTCCCCCTCTTGGGCCCCTCTTGGGGCTCTCTTGGGGCCTTCTTGGGCTGTCCAGAGGCCCTCTTGGGCCGTCTTGGGGCCCTCTTGGGCCGTCTTGGGGCTCTCTTGGGCCGTGTTGGAAGCATCGTGGGCCGTCTTGGGACGGACTTGGGGGCCTCTTGGGCCGTCTTCGAGCGTCGGACGCCCGAAAAGGCAAGAACGCTAAAAACCCTGAAAAACCAATGAAAATCAACGATTCTGGCCTCTTGGGGCCCTCTTGGGAGGCCTCTTGGAAGCTTCTTGGGGCGTCTTGGAGACACCTTGGGCCGTCTGGAGGCCATCTCGGGCGTCTTGGAGCGATTTTTCGGCGACTCGGGGCCCTCTTGGAACCCCTTGGGGGTCTCTTGGGCCCCCCCCCTCCTCCAAAGCGCCGGAAAAAGCGGAGCATGGCGCCCCCCCCCCCCCTATCTTCCACTCCCCCGGAGCGGCCCCGGGGTTCGCCGGAAACTCGCACCCCCCCCCCCCCCCCCACCCCCCCTTCCCCGGCAGAGCCACCCCGGCGACCCCCCCAGAGGCTGAAGCTCAGCCTCGAGGCTGTAGCTGAGACTCCTTGAAACTCACACGCCGGATCGGCGGATTTGGGGGATATGTTTTATTTGTCGTCGAAGATCCCCCTGAAAGGGGACACGCCCGACTTACATTTAGCGTGTAGAGGAACATTGGCCCCGCTGTACATCTGCTTCGGTCAGAGTTGAGTTCGCTGGTTGAGTTTGCCCATCTCCCTCCAGAGAGCTCAGAGACGTACCGCAACACGTTCGACTGAGGTGCGTTCACTCCTGCGTGCGAGGCGCGCGCAGCCAAAGGGCTGATCCACCGCCGGTTGTTGGAGCGTGTCTCGGGCCACCAGGTGCAACAGCTTCCTGAGGGAACAAGCTCTGGTTTCGTGCTGACTGAGTCGGGCCCGGGTAGGAGCAGCCGAAAACGGCGACCGGCTTCCGTGCTGATGTTCTCGCCGCGCTGCAGGCGAGAGCAGTGCGCCGGAGGTCTGGGAGCCAATTGGGGGAACAATAACGAGCAGATACGCAGTTACCCACACCGCTACTCCACGGACTCCCAGAGTCTGTTCTGTCCAGGGTTTCGAGGCGAATCCAGCCGTGGCGCCGAGGGCAGAGTAGCAGGATTGGTACATTGCCCTCCCCTGGCCGACGTCCACGTCAGCGCAGCGTCAGCCCGCAGCAGTGAGTGGCGCTCCGCCCCCCCCCCGCCCGCATTGCACCAGGGAGCCCCCTGGCGGCGCCTCCGGCGCCGCCACTGGCGCGCTCCGCGCGCCAGGGAGGGGGGCCCCCAGCGCGGATCCGAGCAATCCGCGCGGAGCGCCGCAAGTTTATGTTTATGTGTTTTTTTCCTTCGAGCCTTGCATCGCACGAGGCTTCGGAATCAGAAGAGAGCAGGAGACCTATAGAGTCCGCAGGAGTCGGGAGCGCCAGAGCGGAATCGAGAGCAGAAGACCTACAGACGCGCCGCCGGCGAGGAGACGTGCAACAGCCGCGCGCGCGCCGCGTTTCTGCGCCACGCGCCGAACGCCAGCGTCCGATGCGACGTGCAGCAGGCGGCGCGGCCCGGCCCCCCTCCCCCGCGCTGCGCGCCGCCGCGGGCGTTGCAGCAGGGCGGAGTCCACAGGCCCAGAGCTCGGGGGCAGCGGCAGGGTTCAGTCGGGCGTGTCCCTCTACAGGAGGAATGTTCAAAAATAGTAAGAGGACGACTTTTCGATTGGTGTTTGAACATTATCTTTTTTGCATGCTTGGAGTATTTTCCCATTTTCCCTCAAAGTCCACCTGTAGGGGGACATGCCCGACTTCACGATAAGGGGGGTGATACTCGTCGGTCGTTGGCAGTAGGCATCTCTGGATTCCCAGATCCCAGTCCACTTTAGGGCCTTCCATTGAAGAAGAAACAAGGCCAGAAGCGTGAACTTGTGGCGCTCCGCGAGGAGCGCCCCAAGATTATGTTTATGGCGTTTTTTTTCTTCTTGGATTCCTAAGTCAAGTCTCGATATGTTGTTGCAGTATTTTGTGATTCTCTGGGACGGACCTGAGGCCAATCTACCTTACCCTCCTTCCTACTTCATGTAGTTACCTGCTTTTTGTTCCGACCGACGTGTAGGCATAGGAGATGTGCATCGACCTCGAATGGTTGATACATCGGCGATGCATCCACGATACATCATTGATGTCGCGGCGACGCATCGGCGATGCATTGGCGATACATGGGGCGGCTTTCATAGTCGACGCATCGACGATGAAGGTCGCCTCAAGTATCGAGATGTATCGACGATGCAGGCCTGCATCACCGATGGGGAATAGGTTATGAGTACACAGGAAAAGTCTCAAGTTCATGATTGACGTCACTCGTTTCGCTTGATAATCAATTGAATAATATTCCCGTACTCCGTTGATGTTCCGTTGTGTGTCTTGTGCTCCCCACCCGCTCTCATCTCACTAATCCCGTTTCCCGTCCTTCACCATGTCCTACCTCCTGGTTGCCCGTCATTATTCCACGTTCACCCTTGCCGCGCCCCCTCTTCATCTTCCCTCCACCTCCTCGATCTCCTCCCCTCCCTCACTGTACTTTGAGGGAGGAGAAGGGATAGGGATGGAGGAAGAGGAAGAGTAGGAGGAAGATGAGGAGAAGGAGGAGAGACCTGTCTAGACCAAAGACTCCTCAACGACATTGGAATACACTCTCCCTCCAAACTCCCACATCACAGGCCCCTGCAATGTATCACTTCCACTTAAAGGAAGTGCCCCAGTGGGGGGCAAACGTGTAAAAATCCGGAAGCGTGCCGAAACACCATTCTCTGGACTTCAACGCCAGGAGTTTATGTGATTGTGAGGTCTTGGCGATCCTACATCGTACCAGAAAACCACTCCTGGGACTTCAACGCAGCGAATCAACCTAACTGATGCGCCCCGACAGTCATGAATCGGTCCAACAACACGCTTCTGGCACGTTAACCATGCAAATGAGTGACACTGTTGTGAACATGTTGCCGATAAGGTGCTTGGCGCTAAGGCGAGAACCACATTTTGAAAGCGAGCAGCCCTTAATCCGTGACATTCTTGCAAACTTCTAAAACGGACTTTGCGCGGCGCAGAGGCGAGAGTCACATTTTGAAAACGAGACGCCTTCAAACCGTGAAGCCCTCACAACTTTCAAGACGGATGTGCGCGCGCGGCCCAAAGGCGAGAGCCGCATTTTGAAAACGGCCCGCACTCAATTCGTGAAACTCTTGCAACCGTTGAAATTGAATGTGCGTTGCGCTGAGGCGAGAGCTGCATTTTGAAAACGACCCCCCCAACCCGTGATGCTCTTGCATGTATTTAAATCGAATGTGCGCGGTATTACGGCGAGAGCCACATTTCGAACACCACCCGCCCTCCACGTGTGAAATTACTGTCAGTTTTGAGCCTTATGTTGTGAGGATGTCTCAGGCGAAACGCCCAGCCCGCCCTTCCGGCCAGCCTCGGTCTGCGACAGAGAGGAGTTAATTTTGAGGTAAAAGGCTGGACGGAGGAGGGAGCAGGGACGAGGGAGGAGGGAAAAGGGCGATGATGAAGATGAGGAGGAGGAGGAGGAGTGATGAGGGAGGAGGAGGCGGAGGAGGAGGAGGAGGAGGGATGAGGAGGAGGTCGACGAGGAGGAGGAATTGGAGGAGAATTTGGACAAGGAGGATGAGGAGGAGGGGAGGAGGAGGAGGAGGAGGAGGAGGAGGAGGAGGGAGGAGGAGGAGGAGGAGGAGGAGGAGGAGGAGGAGGAGGGAGGAGGAGGAGGAGGAGGAGGAGGAGGAGGGCCGAGGAGGTGGACGAGGAGGAGGGACGAGGAGGAGGTAGGTGGAGGAGGAGCAAGAAAGATGAGGATTCGGGGGAGGAGGAAGCAGGAGGTCGGGGAGATGAGGACGAGGATCGGGGGAGGAGGAGGAGGAGGAGGAGGTTGGAGGAGGAGGAGGAGGAGGAGGAGAAGGATGAGGAAGATGTGGAGGGAGGAAAAGTGATGCAGGAGGAGGATGAGGAGGAGCAGGGAGAAGGAGGACCGGAGGAGGAGGAGGCGGAGGATGAAGAGAGGTGAGGAGGAGGAGGAACATCGGAGGAGAGACGAGTGAAGAGAGATGGTGACGGTGATGATGTTGATGCTGATGCTTGTAAGGATGATGATGTTGATACTGATGATGACGACGATGATTGGAAATGCTGCTGACGATGATGTTGCTGATGCTGGTCATGGTGACGAGGATGATGATGATGATGATGATGATGATGATGATGATGATGATGATGATGATGATGATGATGCTGATGACGATGATGATGATGATGATGATGTTGATGCTGATTGAGATGACGACGATGTTGCTGATGTTGGTAATGATGCCGATGATGAAGCTGTTGCTTACGAGGATGAAGCTGGTAATGATGATGGTAACGATGATGGTGATGCCGCTCATGATGATGATGCTGCTGCTGCTGATGATGATGGTGGTGGTGGTGGTAACCACGTCTTCTCTCGATAACGATGATGATCATGATGCTGAGACCCTGCTGCTGCTGAGTATGATGATGCTGATGCTGATGCCGATGATGATGACGGCCATGATGATGATGACTCCGGTGATGATTATGATGATCATGTCGATGACGATGATGATGCTCGTGATGATGCTGATGGTAATGGTGCTGATGATGATATTGCTGTTGATGATGCTGATGATGATTATTGTTATGATAATGATGATGCTAATTCTGATTCCGATGGCGATTACGACGCGGGTGCCGTTGGTGATGATACTGTTGTTGATGATGGTGATGACGGCGATGGCGATGATGCGATTGATGATATTGATGTTGATGCTGATGATTTTGATGATGCTGATGTTGATGATGATGATGATGAGGACTGATGAGGATGAGGATGAGCGTGAGGATGATTATGCTGCTGCTGCTGCCGATGATGATGGTGATGATGATGATGCTGGTAAAGATGATAATGGTGGGGAGGATAATGGTGAGGATGATCAGGAGGAGGAGGGAGAAGGGTGGATGGAGGAGGGATGATGAGGAGGCTGAGGGGGATCGGAGAGAGGGTGGGAGGAAGATGATGATGATGTTGATGAGGATGATGATGGTGATGATGATGATTCTGATTATGATTATGATGATGCTGATGATGAGGAGGAGGAGGACCAGTGCAAACCCAAGACTCATCAGCGATATTGCAATAAACCTTCCCTCCACGCTCCCACCTCACAGGCTCCTTCAAGGTCATTCTCACTGAGAGAAGTGCTCCGTTGGAAGATATCCGCAAAACACCATGCCTCGGAGGTTATTCATGATATTCCTTGAACCTGTTGTGAATTCTAAAGACTATGCGCGCGACACCCAAGCGAAAGTCACATTGTGAAAGTGGGCCGCCCTCCATCCGTGAAAATCTTGCAACTTCTTACAACGAATGTGCGCGACGCTAAGCCGAGAGCCACATTTTGAAAGCGGGCCGCCCTTCACCCGTGAAAAGTTTAAGGCGAATGTGCGCGACGCTGAGGCGAGAGCCACATTGTGAAAGCGGGCCGCCCTCCATCTTTGACACTGTAGCATTTTTTAAGACGAGTGTGCGCGGCGCTCAGGCGAGAGCCGCATTTTGAAAGCGGACCGCCTCCATCGGTGACACTGTTCCAAATATGCAGCTTCTGGGTCATCCAGAAAGTCTTAGGCGAAACGCCCGGCCCACCCTTGCGACGTGTGACAGAGACGAGTTATTTATCAGGAAGAGGGATGGCCCGAGACCGTCAACAACAGATTTGGGTTGTCCACTTTCACCAGATTCGGGATCCTGCAGGCAGTGGGGGTGCCCCGGGGGGGGGCTCTGAGTTCGACTGGTTTTGGCACCGAGCCGCCCAAAAACAGCTGCCCCCCAGCCGCTGTCAGCTCGCGATAGTTGCAGGTAGGTGGGGCATGCGGGGGGCATCTGTTTGCGGCAGTTCGGAGTGCCGACGGATCGAATTCATGCCCCTCCTCAGGATCACCCCCCCTTTGTTGGATCCCGACAGATGGTCCCCGGCAGGGGTTTGGGGAACGCAGGGGTCTGGGGAACGATTTCCCCCTTCCTCTCGATCGTTCCCCTGGGCCCCATCCTATTCAGACCCCCCGGCCCCCGGTCGTCCCTAACCAGGGGTCACTCCCGACCCCGGCTTTCTTTTCCGCGCCAGAGTTCTCTAGGATCTCGTTCTGCCCCATGCAGACACTGCCTCCTTCTAGGCCTCCTAGATGGGGTCCGAGTAGGTGGGGCCGGGTGATCGCGCCACATCGCCGATGCATCGCAGATGCGTCGCAGATGCGTCTTAAATTGATGAGCAGTCCGATCGCGCTGAAGTCGCCGATGCAACGCCAAAGTCGCCGATGGATCGCCGATGCATCGGCGATTTCTCGGCGATGCGGCGCGATCCCCCGACCCCATCTGCTCGGACCTCATCCAGGAGGCCTCTAGAAATTGCCTCATGCCCTCCTGAAGCAGGAGCTATCCCGGATCAAGCAGCTCCATGTTTGTTCCAGGACCCAGAAC